GGTCTGCCCTCAGCTGGTGTCACCATGCATGAGGCTCTGGTGTCTTCTCATACTACACTCTCACCTGGGCCAGCTTCTTGCTCCCAGGGTCTCAACCTCCATCTGTGCCACAAGCACTCCCAGAACTCTGTCCTAGCCCCAATCTCTCCTTAGACCAGAAACATTCCATTCCTTCCTGGGCATGGCCACCCTTCTATTCCTGAGGCAGAGCAAACAACATATCTCAACCTGAAATCTCCATCCGCCCTCAGAAGCCGCTCCTTTGGCATCCCCGTCACTGTGAACCACCCATTGCCTGAGCCAGAGACCTTCCTGCCCGCATCATCCAGGCAGCCACAGAGCCCCTCTGTCTCCCTCTCTGTCCCACACGCGTCTCCTTGTCCCTGCCTGGGTCTAGCCCTCACAGTGTCCTTCCTGGACAGGTGTCCGGAGCTCCTTTCCCATGTTCCTGCGTCTGGTCTACTCCCACCCTCCGTCTTCCACCTTCTGCCAGTGACCTGAAATTCACATCTGTGCATATTCCTCTTCTGTTCAAAATCTTCCATGGGTCCCCCTGGCTCACAGGACAAGAGTGGATACCTGTGGGCACAGTCTTCCCCAGTCTAGCTACCCTAAGTCCTGCCACCCTCCCCCTGGTACTTCCGGTTCCAGCCATGCAAACTACTTGTCACTCTCTAAAGCTGCCTGTCGGTCACACACCCCTGCCTTTGCAAGTGCCGCAGCTCCTCTTGGGGCACCGACCTTGCACCCCTGCCTGGCAGGCTCTGGCCACTCTTCAAGGCTGAGCTCAAGCACAGGCTCCTCTCTCAGACCTTCCCTCACTGCCAGCCTATTTTAGAAGCACCATGCGTGTGGGAGGGATAATGATTATTATTAATAATGAAGAAGCCAGTCCAATCTAAGTTTCAGTCAGAGCATGAACTCTCATTTTGTTCTGAGTGGAAATGGACTTTAGATCATAATCCTTCATCTACTAGAAAGCCATCGCTTTATAATGTTGCCCAGATTTCAAGATCCCGGGTTTCATAGGTAATCCTGGCAAGTCCCTTCCATCTTTAGGCCTCAGTCCCCTCTTTCATGAATGACCTTTGATCTTCTTCTCTTGGGGGACATGTCCTGGCCTCCACCCATCTTTGTCTGTGACCCTTGTTACAGCATGACCAGACTGAGGGGGCTGGACTTTCCTGCAGGGAGCTCAGACATCAAAGCAGTCAGCACCCAGCCCTGGGCTCTCTGCCCCCAGCCCTGACTATAGCACTGACCACACACTGTTTTTCTGCCAGATTGCCCTTCTCCTTGGGGCCTAGTCCTCGTCAATTCTCACAACCCAGCCCCCACTTCAGTTCCTCTGTAAGCCCCCCTCCTCCCTGCTCTCCAACCACTCCTAGTAGATGAGCCCCTCCCTCTTCTATGGCACCATAGCTCTTGGCTCTTACCTGTTCTAAGGTCAAAGATCATTCTGTAAACTAGTTCTTGCTTATGTGCCTATCTCATGGGGATGTGAGGGTGGAACAGCATCTTATTCATGTTTACATCCTGTGGCCAGCACTGTACCTGACACCAGGAGGGCCCAATACCCTCATCACATGCCCCAAGTGTCAGCCCATGTCCATCCTGTGACATCTGTCGATACCAATGCCTTGAATTGCCTCTTGCTATTCAAGGTACTTTCTCAAGCATCACATCTGCTCCTCTGGACAGCCCAGAGGGGTAGACAAGGGAGATATGGTTATACCCATTTTAGAGATGTGGACACTGGGGTCCAAAGAGGGGAAGTGACTTCCCGGGCTTCCTCTGCCAGTGTCATGCTGGTTACCTGGCCCCACAATGGGGAGTGGGAACACAAAGAGACAGAAGCATCGGGCCCTGAGCTGGGGGCTAGGTGCTCCTGGCCTGGACTCCCTGCACTCTTACGTCACTGCAGCAGGCTGCGGAGAGGGGAAGAGGTTGAGCAAGGAGCCTTTAGTGTCCTTTACTGCCCACTGACCCCCATGTGGAACTAGGAGGGGGGATTCTGATAGAGGGTGGCCCGGAGGGCCCAGAAACAGCTGAAGCACCCACGTTCTGGAAGGGGGGGTGTCTCTGCAGAGCTCAAAGGACAAGGTAAGGGCACAGTCCTCATCCCCAGCAAGGACATCCAGCCTTGTCCCAGAGCTTGATCCTGAGCACCCGACCCCCCTGGCAGAATCCCTGGGGTGAGAGAGAGGTCATGGACAAGGGTCCCTCAGGGAAGAGCCTTAGAAGAGAGCTTGGAGCCAGATCCTAGAGAAACCCCCGCCCCTCTGACTGGCAGGAAAGAATGACATCTTTGGGGAGCCTGTTAGCCTCCACGCCCAGCCGGGCAAATCCAGTGCAGACGTGCGGGCCCTGACCTACTGCGACCTGCACAAGATCCAGCGGGCAGACCTGCTGGAGGTGCTGGACATGTACCCTGCCTTCGCAGACAGCTTCTGGAGTAAGCTGGAAGTCACCTTCAACCTTCGGGACGTGAGTCTGGGCTGGGTGGGCCAGGATGGGGGGTGGCCCTTGGGCAGCTGGTAACAGATAATGCCCAGGCAGCCTGCTGGGAGCTTGGTCTGCTTGGCTTGGGGAACCCATCTGAACACCTCCTTTTCTTTCAACCCATGCTGTATTCTTTACCATAATTTCTTCTGTGCCTACCATGGCCTGCATAATGCTAAATATGATGATAGGTCCCAATTATTGAGCACCTACTATGTGCTAAGCGCTGGGCTTCTTTTACATTATCTCATTTAATCCTTTTTCTTGCAAATGCTGTGATTATCCCCATTTCCAGATGAGGAAACTGAGGCCAGAGAGATACATTGACCAAAGCCATTCAGCCCCACAGTAAGCCATACAGAC